TATTATTCTAACTTTGTTTTATGTTATAAATTCGAAAATTGCATGGTAGTTAGGGTTCATGCTTTGGGTAATTTGATTTGCATGTATAACTTCAGAAAAACATAGATCCGAAGCATTAGGGTTGCATGTACACCATAGGAATGGTGTAGTGCTCAAAACCCATCAGATTTATTGTGAAACTATTTTTCCGTCACATCTACAGTGATAATGTAAACCGACCCTTGTCTACCATCTCTCATAACAGCACCAAACGGACTTGAAAAAGTAACTGAGAATCCAAATTAAATTCCAATTCCAAATCCAAATCCAAATCCCCAACTAGAATTTGATATAGTGATGAAAACGGGAACCCTACTTGTGGTTGCAACAACATATCGAGTTGAAATTATGATGGAAGTATAAACTGATGTCAGCAATGTTATGACAATGACATGGAAAGAATCAAGTCCTATGACAACACAGGTGATTCTTAAGTTTTTTTTAGTTTTCCTTTAACTATTAAAATATGATTGTAAGAGGTCTTTGTTTGGACAAAATGAAACACGATTCACATTCTATTTTGAATGTTTCACTAATGCCTCAAACTAATTTGTAACGACCCAAAAATCACGACTAAAAATTTCTTTTAAAACATTACTAAAACCATATTTATAAAACCGTATCATAAGTCATAACAAAATTTTCGAGTATTAATTCAAAACATAATCTCATTATCAAAGTAAAACATTCCCAGGCTAACTGACTATGGTGTGTGCACTGCAACCTCTCCGAGCTCCTCTTTTGAAAACTGAGTACCTGAAACCAAAACTGGAAATTGTAAACACGAAGCTTAGTGAGCTCCCCCAAACTACCACATACCATACAATAACATATAAAGCACATACTGGGCCTTGCCCACTGCATCGGACCGAAGTTCGGAAAATGACTGGGACCTTGTCCCCTGTATCGGTCCGAAGTCCGGACTATCTGGGGCCTTGCCCCTGCATCGGACCGAAGTCCGGAAATTGACTGGGACCTTGTCCCCTGCATCGAACCGAAGTCCGGACTAACTGGGGCCTTGCCCCCTGCATCGGACTGAAGTCCCAAAACTGATTGAACAAAGCATAACATAAACATATCAACTAGCATGAACACACATATACTGTATACTGCATCGGGCCGTAGCCCGGAACACATAACACATAAATCCTGTCTGAGCCACGAAGGCATCAAACATACTAACTACTGCATCGGACTGAAGTCCGGAAACTACTGCTAGCTAAACGAGTTGGCATTGTGGCCTTAGACGCGTTCCTAATGGAAGGAAACTCACCTGAATTGTTGAGCTCTGCTGATACCCTCTGGCTGCTAACCGACAACCTTCTGAGACGCTGCTCCTCTAACTCACTGAACTACCAATATCAAAATGATACTTAGTCTGACAGCCCTTCAAAAGTCAACTAAGTCAACTCTGGTCAAAGTCAAAGTTATGGTCACAGTCAACCTTCCAGGTTTACCCTACTTGCCGAGTCAGCCTACTGACTCGCCGAGTTCATAAGCTCTGAAATCCCTTTCATTCGTGACTCGACTCGCCGAGTCTACTGATTTCCGAGTCCTGACCTGTCCACTCACTGGGTCCCCACTCAACTCACTGATCCGAGTCTTAAATCGAAGGGTTTGGGGTTTGTCGACTTGACTCGCCGATTCCAAGAACAGACTCGCCGAGTGCAAGGCAATCTTCAACAGACTCACCGAGTTGTTCTTCCAACTCGTCGAGTTACTGCCTAACTTCATCCAACTCGCCGAGTACACCCATGTGACTCGCCGAGTCTCTTCAGTTCTTAATCCATACAGTGGCTTTTTGAGCCATGCAGGGGCTCAAATCCATATATCCATTCCTCAAGAGCCTAACCCCTACGTAAAGTGGCAAACTTTACGTGTAACCAAGGATTTATAGGCTTAGAACACTCTAGGGCTAGGGTTTGTAACAAAGGGGCTTCACCAACAACTTATTGGCCTAAACTTTATGACTTTCTGGGTTAATACCAACCTAGAACTAAGGTAGCAACCTCAGATCTACTCCAAACTCGAAATAGATCTCATCCATACTCAAAATGCCCAAAACTCAAACATAAGATAGATCTAAATGCACATAAGCCCAAACAACAGACTATTACCTCAAATGAAAGCTCCAACTAAAGTAAATCTTGGATCTACACCACTCCTTTGCAGCAAAGCCCTTTATCTTCAAGCCCCTCTCCAAGATTCTCTCCTCCAAGGCTCTATTCTCTCAAATAATGAAGGTTCACTCAATTCTAGGGTTTCTGGAACTCAAAAAGGGAGCAAAGAGGATGAGGGTGGGTTATAATGTGGTTTATATAGGGCACAACCTCTGGGATTAGGGTTTTTTTCTCGCCCAGACCACACTCGCCGAGTCCACTCGCTGACTCGCTGAGTCGGTCACTTACTCAATGACTCGGATCCCGCTCTGACTCATCAAGTTCCTCCCTGGACTCGACGAGTTGACTCTTAATTTAGAGCTTAACCTTTCTTTTCTTGGTCTACCTGATTCTGGGTGTTACATAATTTGATAGAGATTCAACTTCATATTGATAATTTTTAACTTTTACTCATTATTTTGAAATATTACCATGTTTGGTGATTATAAGAGGTTCTTTGTTTAGACCAAATGAAACATGATTCACATTCTATTTGAATGTTTCACTAAGGCCTCAAATTAATTTGATAGAGATTTAATTTCATATTTATAGTTTTCAACTTTTACTCATTGTTTTGAAATACTGCCATGTTTGGTGATGAATATTTGAAAATTTTGGTATTAACTTTCTCTAATTGCATTACATAAAACAAAAAGTTTGCTTTTATGGGATGAAGGACGTGCTTGTAAACAAAATTTTGGAAACTATCCCCGATCATCCATCTATAATAAGGTTTGGAAAAGCATCAAACTTCACCGAAATGCCTCAGACCGCCCTCCCTTTACATTACTTCAACTTTGTTTCATATGAAAACTAACAAATGTGTTTAAACTACCATGAACTTCCGACTAATAACAACATGCAAATCCTAACACATTTATCAGGTCCTTATATTGTTATAAATGTTGTAATACTTGTTAGCTTCTCTCTTCAGAAGAAATATTAAAGGGTGACAACACAACCAAACACCTTCACCCAAAAGGACACAAAACTTCTCAAAATGAAACGTCAATATCCATTGTTGGCTTTTCCATTAATTGTCATTTAACCTAACATTTCCAATTTTACTTATTTTCCATTGTTATTTTCGACAATAAATACATTGTAAGAAGAATTTGTAGCACCATTCGTTGTCACAAAGCGCGAGAGAACCACTTTGTGCATCAATTTTTCTAGATAAGAAAAACAAGACCTTCAACGGATTTGAAAATAGGTTTCAATTGTTGCTAATAAGAGATCAATCGCGTTAATACAAGGCAGCTCAAACTCACCTTAGGGAGGACGAAGTCGAGGTTGGGTTAGCTGGCAATTTAGAGCGGTATCGGTGGTACTGTCAGGTCATGGCCCTTTCAATGGCAGGTACCAACGCTTAGGGAGATAGGAGTTGTGCGGGTTGGTGAACCAACTTCAACCTTCACTCCACATACATTAAGGACTTGGAAAGGAAATAAGGCATATGTCATAGTCTTTACCTTCACCCATCGTCGATTGCTCCGATCTTATCAAAGAGTCAGAGCTTCCAATTGATAAAGGACAAAAAAGTAAGATCCGATCTTATCAAAGAGTCAGAGCTTCCAATTAATAAAGGACAAAAAAGTAAGAGAACCCTAAATTTAAAATAGTTTGTTTCTTCATGGACCAAATTTTATCAAATGAATCAATAAAAAAGTTTTATTGGTGTTTGAAATAATTTATTTAAAATAGTTTGTTTTTTATGAATAAGTATTTGGATTACAGACAGCAAGTTGAGTGGGTTGGAAAAAATAAGATTTTCATAAATTAAGAGTTAGAAAAATAAAAATAAATATAAAAAAGAAAAACTGATAAAGATTGAAGGGGAATAATGTTGTAACTTTAAGCAAGTTTCTATGAGGGGGCTTCATTTGATTGTTTCGTATCTTCAATTTCGATTTGTAAGAGAAGCAAACAAGCTACCAAGGTAAAAGGCTACAAAGAGAGAAGTTGGCTTGTTTCGGTCTTTCACCCCTACGGAGAACAATTATCGATTGTCTTTGCAAATTGATTTAACCATATTCATATTGTAATAAAAAAATAAGTTTGTCCTTCTTTTAATTAATTATCATTTTATTAGACATCCTAATTAATATCATATCATTTGATAATATTGATTCTCCATTTCAATTTTCAATTTTGAATTTTAATTTTTTTCACTCTGATTACATTAAATTAGCTTAAAAATTATAATAAAATTAATATCAATTATAAGATGATATAATTTCATATATTATTTAAATCCAATTTCAAGTTTTGAGAATTCATTGGCTGAGATACATGTGTGTTAAACTTTGGTTCAAACATGCCTTAACCAATACAATGCAACAAAGTCAACTAATTATATATACATATTAATTTAGAAGGACCACTTGAACAGTTCTTGCTTCCTATTGGACCAAACTTTTTATTTTTTATTTTTATTTTTATTTTGTTTAATAATTTATGCTCGATGTATACGTGGTGATATATCCCACCTTCGTTCCAGTGATTCTAACACCGATATACACACGTTTGATTTTCTGCAGTTTTCTTACAGATATTGGCACCGCCTCGCCTCCTTTCATCTTCGTCCGTCTCACCTTTTTTTCTCATTTTGCTTACCGTACTCAACGGCTTCTCTTTGGAGTCGATCACCACCGCTCCTCCTTACATCACCATGGCTCCATCGGCACCCGTCATCTCCGACATCACCCCACCTGCTGCCAAGAGAACCCTCCGACGAGGCCTCTCAGAACCCTAGCCTCAGCTTCGCCATGAGCATCACCATCTTCAAAGGCCAAATCATCTCTTGCAGAGGAAGCTATCGGCCCTCATAGCACACTTCCTCTGATTTCTTCACTCCGTTTACCATCTTCCTCTTTTCATCAGCTTCAGCAACAAATCGTAACCCAAAATAATCCCAATAACCTTCCAAAACATCAGTATTTATCTCCGCATCTACAAATTCCCTTTTGTCGTGTATTGCAAGAAGGCTGGTCGGAGGGAGTTATCACCCGACAAACGAGATGTGATGCAAACTGGCTGATACCCACCACCTCTAATTGATTGGGGCTTTCTTTGGTTCAATACTTCAATTCATCGTTGTTTACATGAGGGAGGAGGCCTACATCAGTTGAAGCCTTACCTCCGATTAGAAGTCGTCTCCGGATCCGGTTCAGATGGTTACCGATTTCATAGATGGTCATTACATCGCTACTGCTATTATGCTTTTTCTTGCATCAGGTTTGTTTTTCTTTCTCTAAACCTCCATTGATATTTAAAACCTCTTCTACTTCATCTTTGGAGGTGTTGTTGGTTTTCTTCGCTTCGTCTCGATCCTTCTTTCACAACTATAGGTTCAATGAAAACATAAACCCTTTTACGTCCAGGGTAAAAAGAAGGTACTCTTCGTTCGTCTTTTTTAGGTTCTGTTATCATATTTTTACACAAAAAAGAAATTATAATCTAAAATTAGCATGTTTTGTGACATAATTCCAGTTTCAAAAAATGGCGGTATAACAGGGATGGGGTGGAGACATCAATTGGTCATACCCCAGATGAGTTTTACAACAATCTGTTAGAAGGTGTGAGTGGTATTAGTGAAATCAAAGTGTTTGATTGGTCCAATTATCCAACTGTATGTCACTATTCGTGTTCTTTCTCTTTATTTTTTAAGTTATTATTAGGCAATTAAGAGTTGGAATTACAGAGAATTGCTGGAGAAACCAAAACTTTCTCTACAGGTGGATGGGTGGCACCCAAAAGAGGGTATTTGGTTAAAGCTGAGGCCATTAGGAAAGCATTGCCTCAAGTTTCTAGCAGTAACAAGAGAGAAACGTAACAGTAGCTTAGGCAAGACAAGTTAAGCTAGCCCGGGTTACTAACTATCTCCATGTAACCATTACTCCATTACTTTTACAAATTTTTACTCAAAGAACCGGTTATCGGCTACTGTTTGATTTTTTTTCTTCAAGTTCCTGCTTAGAAAACACGTTATTTCCTGGTATTTGCAAAAAAATTTAATGACATTTTTTAACACTTCTTGGAACTCCTTAGGAAGATGGAAAAAGACCTTTATGGTGTTTATATGCCAGGTAACCATGATCTTCTTCTAATTTATTCCAGTAAATTGTGTATTGGGTAAAAAAAATATAAAAGTCAACGGTCACTGATAAAACCTATTATTTGTGATAAAGATTCAGAATGCTTCCTTTGATTCAAGGGACACATTGTATTATAGAAACACTTAGTATTATAGAAACACTTACAGCTGGTGTTGTTGTTCCTTTTCACCATTTGGTTTATGGTATGTAAGAAGGGTAAAATGGTAATTTAGCAAAGTATGTTTGTTATTATGACCATTTTGTTGTTGTGAGTTGTGTGATAGGTTGGATCAAAATGAGAGGCAAATGGTATTATAGCAAAGGCAGAAGCAAAGATGGTGATGGATGTTTCCTGTGCAAAGGTTCATATTTTTATATATATTTCGAAAATGCCCTTTAGATTTTTCCACTTAGTTGTAAGTAAAATTTTTGAATTTCTTCGAAGTATTGTAGACAGTTTAAGAGAATGAATAAATTAACCCACTAAATTTGGTGTATTTAGAATGTAAGCTTATACCCTTTTTTTAAAATAATGGATTTAAATCCCATACAGATGATTTGCTTTGTATGTTACCAGCTACATTTTTTATCAACATTTTGATAGTTCAATCTTAAAATGGGTGAAATGTAGCATCATTTTTCTTTGGCGCATCCAATCCCGCAAAGCGGGATTCTTCCCTAGTTAACTCGATATTTCCTTTCAAGAATTTCGCAAACATTATAAAAGGCAAGCAAGAACTAAAAATATAACATGAAGAAGAACTAGTTGAAAACAAAACTTGCGACTCAACTCAAAAAAAAAGTTCAATAAAAACAATCCTAAAAACATCCTTAAAATTAAACAAGAAAATGCTTAAAAAAACTCTCATTCTTCCTCTTGTATTTTCGCCTTGTCACTCACATAAATACCATCAAGAAACTTACGGATATCCTTGTTCTTCACATGACATTTCTGCACATCAACAAAATAAACTCTCAAAATTTGAATTTCTCTCTATTACTAAATAAGTTGTTTTTTCATCTTTTAAGTAATCAATTGATTTAACAATAAAGAAAGTGATTTACAAGTTCAACCATGTTAAATTTTCATACTCTATATATTCATATTCAAATCAATGACATGAACCAATAATTAAAATAACATGAGGGTTTTGAAAAAAAAAAGGATGTGAATACAAAAATTTGTACCCAAAAACATCTCATAAAAGTAACAAGTGTTACCTGGTTTATCAAGGCACAAGATCGAGAAACAAGCTCAATGTCATTTCCATCAAGTATAAGTTCATCCTTAACTTTCTCGGATCTAACTACAGTCACCCCATCAAGCATATCGACTTTCCTCACCTGTTAATCAGCCACAAATAGTTATAACACGACTAAACATCAAGTGAAAAAAAGTAGCATTTAATTGCATACAAAGTTCATGAATTCATAATTCGGAACTGAAACAGTTTAGGATCATTGGCATCATAATATGTTACATTACATGAATGCTTGTTTCAGTTTATAAAACAATTTTAAACAAAAACAAAAATTTATATTTCGAAAAGCACAAGATGGATTGTAGTTTTTTTTTCTGAAAAGGGTGATCAGAATCGTTTGATTAGAAATGGCAACTGTACGATGAAAAAGTGGCTTTCGAATGTCAACATTATATTAATAAAACACACAGATCATAGTGAATAGCAGGGAATAGTTAAGCATGATTAATGAGGAAACAGCAAAACACAACTGAAGGGGTGAAAGTAATAATCATAAGTATTATACGAAAATGTGCTAACCTTCTTTTCCCCTAAAAAGTTACGGATCTCAATAGCAGTGTTGCTGTTAGTTATGCTAGCGTTGATCGGAAAATGAGCATAAACAAAACGCATCTTGTACCGGAACCCCTGAGTGACGCCGACGATAAGATTATTGACGTGACTGAGGGCAGTACGGATGGATGCGGTGGTCTTCCGAGATCCAAACCAAGCATCAACCTTCAGCTTCTTTTTTCCGGTTTCTTCATCGGTGATAAGCTGGAAATCAAGGTTAAGATGCTTGAAATTGCGAGTGAGGGTTCCTCTTGGTCCTTTAACCTCGATAACCTTGGCCTTGATTTTGATCTCCAGACCCTCCGGGATGTCCATGGTCTCCGATGACAAAATAGTCTTCATCTTCCCTCTTGATTCTTACTCTGCTGCAGAGAACTGAAGACTTTTAGGAGATTTTGGAGGCAAGGGAACCCTAGAAAATGAAGAACACTATATACATATCTCACTGATGTGTTTTAGGGTTTTTCAACAGGCCGGTTATTAGCTAATGGGCCAACAGGATTTCATCATTAAACCCATTAAACGTTAACTTGGGCTTGGGCAGATTTTATTGGGTTGAATAGGTTTTGACCTTTCGTGTTTGATATTGATTTCAAAGTTATGGACTTTAATTTTATAAGATATGTATAATGTATTATAATGTATAACTTTTTACGATTTTAGGACTTTTTTTTTTAAGTACGATATCTTTCATTTTGTTTGATTATCTAGTTTGTAAGTTCCACTTAATTTTTTGAGTCACCAAAAATTTCAAAAACGTTTTTTCTTGTATGATATTTTTATTTGGTTATTATATAACATTGAAATAGATTTAAAATTAGTAATGTACGTGCTTTTATAAAAATGACGATCTATACAAGAGAACCACATATGCATGTAGATGAAGTTCTTGTGACTCATGATATAGAACCTTCAGAATCAGACTTAGGCTTTACATATATAAGACCTTGATTTTTACCAGGGTCGGTCTAGACGGTAGGTAACATGGGCGACCGCTAGGGACCACGTCTTCAGGGGACCCAAATTTTTTGGGATATATATATATATATATATATATATATATATATATATATATATATATATATATATATATATATATATATATATATATATATATAATAAAATTATTGTCTAAATGATTGTTAGGGCCCGAAGCTTGTTCAAACTTAAATTTGTTTAAAAGATAAACAATTTTGATTACTTATTATTGCTAATTGAACACTTCTATAATGAATGACAAATTAATGATATTTTTTTAATCTTTATTATATTTGTCTTTAATGTTTTTTTTCTTTTTACCCCAGACTCCATATATGTTTGTACTGGACCTGATTTTTACATAATAAGCATGATATGGATCATTGTGGCAAATTAATCAATAACTTCAGTTTAATTGTAATATTGTAACATCCATAAAAATTATGTCAAAATTAAGGGTTGTTTGGTAGCCTCTTAATTGTAAAATTAAGAGGCAACCTCTTAATATTTTAGATTCAGAGTGTTTGGTTACCTATTAATAAAAGCATCTTAATCTTTTAAAGGTCTCTTAAACTTTCAGACTTGAATGGGTATCTGAATAAAAAGAAGAGACGCTAGTTCCTCTTTTGCCCTCGTTTCATAAAACACACACCTACCTTTCTCGATCATCTATTTGGTCTTCACCCTCCTCCGACCAACTTCAGCGCCTCCCACCTCCTCCCATCGTCGACCTCGCACAGCACTGTCGCACCCATTGTCGCCTCGCCAAGTTACGACCACCGACGCCAAGCTCTCTGACAACGCCGGCAAGACCCAACCACCATCTGGAAAAGAAGAAACCCAGGTGACTTTATCTATAACATACGACTCCTTTCATTTTCAAGCTTCTGGGCCATTTTCTTCCCTGTGATTCATCTTCTTGATAGCCATGGCAGAGTCGACATGTCTCCTGCATTCTCTATCTTAACCCAACAACCATGTAAGTTTCGATTGATTTCTTGTAGTACCAAGTGTTTGTCAAAGTGCTCCAGTGAGTTGTATTTTATTGAATATTTTGTGAACTTTTTTGGGTAATCGACATATTTCTTATTGTAGAATGTTAGGAGTGAGTTATTGACTACAAAGTGTTTGTAGAAATGCTCCAATGAGTTGAACTTCACTAAAGCATACTCTCAATTGTATTGATTGTTGTGGTTAATTTTTTGTTGATATGAAAGTGATAGAATGATTGGTTGTTTCTTAAGTGTGTAGGCAGTAGAAATTCAAAGATATTCGAGTTCAAGAAAAATGGTTTCAACGGGAAGGACATGGATGCGCTTTATGGGCAATGTTGGATAGAGACAACATCACAAAGGTAGCCACAATAGTTTATTTCTTAACCAAGAATGCATTCATTCATTTTCTCAATGGTTTTCCAAATATGGAGTTTCTTCATTTGATGACTACTGAAGTACCTTAATTCAATCCATGTTCTTCCATCTAATCTACATCGTAACAGTTAGCATCTTCTTTAATTGATCGACAATAGATAGTTTTACTGATTATGCATCTGTCACTTGGTGATGATTGATTTTATACCTTGTTTTTGTAAGGGTTAAATGTAAGAAATAACAATGTATTTTTATTGCTTTCTTTATTATAGCATCATACTTTCGCCTCTTCGGGTTAGAGCATTGTATTTTAAAAAAATATATTTAATTATGTATGATTAACTTTGATTTTGTATGACGTTTATATATACATATTATTGAAGGCTTTGGTTCGTTTATTTTCTAAAAATAAACATTGTATTCTTTAAAAAATAATAAAGAGGGTAAAATGGTCATTTTTATAATTCAGCAAAGAAATTCAGAGGTTCCAACCAAACAGCATATTAATAATTCAGATCTTAAAAATTCAGATCCTCTTAGAAATTCAGACCTCTTAAAAATTCAGATCTTAAAAAT